GAGAGGGAGAGAGAAAAGGGAGGAGAGGGAGAGAGAAAAGGGAGGAGAGGGAGAGAGAGAAGGGAGGAGAGGGAGAGAGAGAAGGGAGGAGAGGGAGAGAGAGAAGGGAGGAGAGGGAGAGAGCAAGAAAAGGGAAGAGAAAAGGGAGGAGAGGGAGAGAGAGAAGGGAGGAGAGGGAGAGAGCAAGAAAAGGGAGGAGAGGGAGAGAGAGAAGGGAGGAGAGGGAGAGAGAGAAGGGAGAGAGAGAATGGAGGAGAGGGCAAGAGAGAGAGAGAAGGGAGGAGAGGGCAAGAGAGAGAGAGAAGGGAGGAGAGGGCAAGAGAGAGAGAAGGGAATCCCTGCCTGATTTCTCCCATAATGAACTATAGAACACCTCCCCTTACATTATAAAGAGGGGGTGGTCTTCTGTAGCCCAGAAGGGGAGAACGCCGCTTGGTATTTCAGTACAGCAGAAGCAGCGCTGTGTCTGGATGACTTTTTTGCCATTTTAAAAAATTACTTTTTTTGACTTTCTTGTGTTGTTTATTTTCAGAGCCTTAATTCAGTCCATGCTGGAGAGATGCGAGCGATTTTTGTGGTCACAGCAAGCGTGACCCCGCCACACGCCGCCTTCACCGGACAATGATCACACCCTGAGAAATCCTGCATTGTGCGCCTCTTCCGGAGCAGACCGCTCCAACGATTTCTTTGTCTAATTTATGTGTTCGTAATTCTGGAAGCGATTGTTACAAAGTATCAAGTGCCTAAAACTCCAACGTCTTCCATTCCGCAGCCAGTGTAGTGCCGAGGTGGATACAAACAAACGTGAAGAGCTGAGGGGGGAGAATCTCATTGGCCGATGCTGGTAACCAAAACCGTTCTTCCGTTGAACACTTTGGTCAGCCGACATTCCTGGCGGCGCGGATGCTAATTCGATGAGCCTCGTTCAACTAAAAGCACATAAAGGGAATGCATCGGTCATGTCCCCGGCAGCCTATGGAATCACTCCGTTTATTTTTTTTATGTGCTGGAAAAAGGAGACCTGCGAGCTGATTGGTTGTCTTGGGCAACGCGCACTTCTTTCAGAGATTTTTGATACGTCCTTTTAAGCAAGCACAATATTCAGTATTTAGAAATCTTTTATCATCGCGCACATCAGTGTTCATCGCTACGCTGTGATGTTCTGTGTAAAAAGTCTGAATTATTATTTTTTTGTAAAATATTTTTTGACGTGCAGAGAGTTTTTGTAACTACACTGAACGGGTTATTTGTTAAAGGGCCACACACCTAAAATAATATAAAAAATATGTATTATAAATATATATAGTTAGCAAATAATTGCGTTCTGTGGATGTTAGTATAATACGTACTTACTAACATTTTTGTCTTGGATCCCGGGACACTGCTTACCCCTGTTTCGTCCATGTTTTTACAGGGTTGGCGTATCCAGACCCCGCCTACTTCGTAGGTTACCCCTCTCAGACCCCACTCCTAAATATGCAGGGATAACCCATTTGATGTGCTGGCCCTGCTCAGACCCCCACCTCTGAATATGCGGGGGCTACCCACTTGTGGCCCCAATTTCTGCCACCACGTGGAAATTTCTCTCTGTTTCAGCATTTTGCAGCTTTTGGGTAACTGAAGACTGTAGGCCTCATTCACACACAACGCAAGCAAAATTGTATATTGCGTATATACGCGTCTATGCGTGCACTATATGCAATCCCAGAATGCATCACTCGTAATGGAATCTTGAATGTGCTGTACGCATGTACGTGCGTATATGTGCAGAAATACGCTGCCTGGACGCATCTCTGTTCCATTCTGTTTTTGTGCATATCTACGCTACGCAAATATACGGCTCCATACGCGGCTATGTGTATGGAGCCATTTATTTGCATGTGTTGCATATGGTACAATATGCTCTGTGTACCCTGAACACGGGGACACAAGACCTTAAGGCCCCATTCACACATAGCGACATACTTTTTACAGCGGCCGGGATAGCGCGACTTTCGGGGCGACGATCCAGCGACGGTAGCGCGACCTTCTCCTTCGGGCTCCATTAGAAAAAAGCAAAATCGCGCAAAATCCGCCGAAAAAAGGGTCCTGTAGAAGCGACTTGCGACCGCGACGCGTAGCTAAGACGGCTCCATTGAATATCATTAGCCGGCGACATCTCGCAATATCGCGCGGCACAAATGCGCGTTATCGCGGCGGAAATCGCACGATAAATCGCTACGTGTGAATGGGGCCTTATTTTCATTGACTCATTTTCAAATCTCATTGGACACAGCTGAAAATACCTGTCACTTAAGGATCCTTATCCTGGCGTGTTGGCTTCATGAATCGCGCCCATTATGTCAGCCGGTGATGTTGGAACCTTTTCACTGATCACAATGGACACTTCAAGAGTCTTCCATGCTACAAACAGAACAGACAGACAACATGTAGCAGTTTACAGTCTGACTTTCCTGCTGCACAGGACTGAGTTTCTTAGAATGTTGGGTTATACATTCAGCACAATGGCATCTGCTGGCAATCACTAATGAGATGAATTTCTACAGAGAAAGGCCAATGATGGAGTTCTTGGAGCAAAATGTCCCAGCATCTCCCGATCAAATCCTGGATCTCAGAGTTCTACAATGGGAGGAGAACCAGGTTTGGCTTTCTGAATAAGAAAACCATCACAGACTGTCTTAGAAGTATTACCTTGTACATATTCTCTTTTCTACAGTGTTCTACCAACCCTGGTCACTCGGAGTTGTGTGTTATGTAATGATTTATAATAAAATTTATGTAAATATTACCTGTGTCGTGTGTGTGTCAATTCTTTGCAATTGAAAAAATATATACATTCAGGAAAATTGTTTTCTTATACTTATGTTCCTGATTTCTGGACCTCTTTATGTTAGCCTACTACAGGTCAGCTTTGCCCTTCCTACGCCTCCAGCAACACCCCTAACTAGCCCAAAAATGTAAATGTAGCTTCTCTCTAACCTTTCCAATCACAAGCCTAGCGTTGTAAATGTTGGGTGGGTTAACCTAGGCTAAGGAGAATCCAGGGGAGGAAAATTACGGTAAGTAGAAGTAAACAATTTTCCTGATTTCCGGATCCCATCATGTCAACCTACTATGGGACATAGAAAGCAGTGATGGAATCGGGAGCTTCCAACTAACCCTGCTCATCACAAACCTCATGGAGTGTGAGAAACCTAGGCTGACATGAGGAGGATCCTGGTAAGTATAAGAATCAATTTTCCTGATTTCTGGGTCTCCTCATGTCAACCTACTATGGGATATAGAAAGCAATGACAGAATCGGGAGCTTCCAACTAACCCTTCACATCACAAACATCATGATGGAGTGTGAGAAACCCAGGCTGACATGAGGAGGATCCTGGAGAGGAGAATTATGGTAAATATTAGTGAATTTTCCTGATTTCTGGGCCTCCTCATGTCAACCTACTATGGGACATAGAAAGCAATGACGGAATTAGGAGCTTCCCACTAACCATTCCCATCACAAGCCTCACAACGTAGGGTGGGACATGTCATGACGTTATTGCTTGCTATGTCCCATAGTTGGCTGACATGAGGAGGATCCAGGTAAGGAAAATTATCTTTAAGAAAACAGTTTTGCTTATTCCTGGACCTGTTCAAGCAAGCCTACTATGGGAAATGGCAAGCGAAATGAACTGTTCCCATCACAAGTATGGCGACAGAGAGTGAGAAAGCTAGACTGACAGGAGGAGGAAATAAATATTTTGATAAGTATAAGAAAACTATTTTCCGGATTTCTGGACCTTCTCATGTCAACCTACTATGGGACATAGGAAGCAATGACAGAATTGGGCGCTTCCCACAAACCATTCCTATCACAAGCCTCACAACGGAGGCTGGGACATGGTGTGACGTTATTTCTTACTATGTCCCATAGTAGCCTGACATGAGGAGGATCGGAAAGGAAAATTATGGTAAGTATAAGAAAACCAGTTTCCTCATTCCTGGACCTGTTCATGTCAGCTTACTATAAGAAAGAGCAAGCAATGACGGAATCGGGAGCTTCCCACCCACCGTTCCCATAACAAACCTTTTTATGGAATCGGAGAGTGGGGAAACCTAGGTTGTCATGAGGAGGATCCAGGAAAGGAATATTAAAGTAGCCTAGGAGGCCCCGACACTTAATATGTGGGAACCACCCACTTGTGGCCCAAATCTCTTCAGTTCCATTTTTTGGGTTCTAGCACATGCTCAGTAACTTAATAATGGTGATGCTGTGATCCTGGGACACAGCATCATAGGGACAGGAGACCAAGATGGGGACTGTCCTGGCAAATGCGGGACATTTGGCATTTAGTGTGCATGCCTTATGTACTTCATACATTCCAGTGCCACATGGTGGAATGTTTAGTGGCTCCAGGGTGGTACATACAAAAGTAATTGCAGTAAGTGCTGCAAAAGGGGCCCAAACCAAGTACTGAGTACATATGCATGCTTGTGCTTTTCAGAGGTCTGATATTGTTCTATGTACAATCCTTGTTTTATTGATTGCATGTAATAATCTACTTTTTTGAGGTTGTGGATTTGGGGTTCTTGGGGTTTTCATGAGCTGTAAGCCAAAATCATCACAATTATGACAAATCACGGCTTGAACTATCTTGCTTTGCATGTAATGAGTCTATCTCATATATTAGTTTCACCTTTTAAGTTGCATTAGTGAAATAAATGAACTTTGCACGATATTCTAAGTATTCGAGTTTCACCTGTATGTCCTACCAGCTCCTAATTGTGAACAGTGACTGGGAGCTGCCACTTAGGGGTTGTGGACATCTCGGTCACAGTGCTGGGGGCGCCGAGTGACCATGCTTCCAGCACAGAACAGTGGCGCCGGCTGTATGCATGGTGTTAAGCATGCTGCCACATATACATGTACGCCTGGCGGTAACGGGTTAAAATAGTCAATTCTTGATATTGAAGATGACTTCTGTAGCCATTAGAGCCATTGTAGGCTCTTTTTTAAGCATGGAGTACAAAGACATTAAACCAAGCACATGCCTAAAACTGAACTCCGGACACTAAAATCCTTATTCAAATATATTCCTCAATAGCCACGAACGATATAAATCCACATTGTGTGCCCCAAATGCCTTTACATATCCAGTTATTTCCTTCTAAAAGTAGCAATGAGATCATCACTGTGCTGTACATGGCCTGTGTAGGGAGCAGAGCTGTGGGAGGAGCCCATCAGGCTCCACCCACTACTGGGAACTGCAGGAGGGGGCAGAGACGAGACCAGTCACCCTGCACAAGGAGAGAGAGCAGCAGTGACCGGTCTTTGTTACAGGAGGGGGGCGAAGACAAGACCAGTCACCCTGCACAAAGAGAGAAGCAGTAAGCGGTCTTTATTACAGTAGGGGGCGGAGACAAAACAAGTCACCCTGCACAAGGAAAGAGAATAGCATTGAGTGGTCTTTATTACAGGAGGGGGCGGAGACAAGACCGGTCACCCTGCACAAGGAGAGAGCAGCAGTGAGTGGACTTTATTACAGAAAGCTTCTCCTACACAAAAGCACACCAAGATTCAAGAAGAATACAAAGGCCTCTTGTACTCAGACAATATTTGCTCAACCCAG